TGGGTTTTGTATCTTTTAATCCCCATGTTTATACGTATTTGTAGGTCTCTGAAAATTGTTTCCTGGTGTGGAAAGTTCTGACGCTCAAAGTCAGCCGAGATACGTGTTTCGGGATTTAAAAAAAAACCCAAAACCAACCAAACAACAGAAAACAAACAAACAAAAAAACCCAAAGTGTGAAAGAGATCAGAATTTTAGTTTCAGTTTCACCACACAATAGACTTTTCAATTTTTATTATATTTGTTTTTAGTAAACTGGAAGATGAAGAATAGCTGAATTTGCAGTGGCCATCTTTTTTTTTTTTTTTTTTTTTTTTATTTCCTTCCAGAAAAGTAAATTGCCATTCCAGTAAATCTTCCAGGAGTGATTTTTCTCAAGCTAAAGTTCCTTTTAGCTTTTCCTTTGGGCTTCTTGTGGAATTTCTTAAATCTCAATAGAACATTGAAAATTGGAGGTAAACTCTCTAGATTTTTAGACTTAGACCCTGCAGGAAATCTTTTGTCCAAAACAGCATATGAAGTGTGCAGTTTACACTGTGGGATTTTTGGTCCTGTTAACTGAAATCTGTTACCATGGCCTCAGTCTTTTACGTGCTGCAGTTCATATGAACAGAGGGTGTGAAGTCCGATGGATTTTAATGAAAGTACTCATGAATGAAGCAAAGCGGTACGTCATAGATGTTTGCAGATGTGTTTTTGTTTTCGTGCTCTGGGAACAATAGCTGTATTTGTACACCAGAAGAATGTCTGAAATATTTTTACAAGGAAAGCAGATTTACGTATGTGTCTTTAACATACCCTTCCTTTATTATGACCTGAGAATACTGGCATAGAAAAATAACTGTTTGGACTATGCCAATTTGTTTTCACACTCCCTAAAATCCAGACCTCTCTGCTGCTGCTTTTTTTTTATTTCCCCAATATGGTGTTTTAAAATGCATTGGTGGTATTAGGAGGTGTAGATGAGGGAAGGAAAAGGAACATAAGCATTGACAGTCTTCCTGAGTGTTTCTGCACATACCACTTTGCACGACGTGAGTAATACATGTCATGCTGTGTTTAAATGCTTAAAATTGTCACTCAGTCAAATCTCTGAGGAAAACACTCTGAATTATAAGCCATGATCCTCCATTCATTGCATGTGCTTATGCTGGCCCTTCCAAGTGGCCCATCAGGTTGTTTCCTACGGCAATCTGGGCTTCTGTGCCTCCTTTAGGCTCCCTAGGTTTTGTTGAATCTGTGTGAATCTGCAAGCCTACCTGAGCTTTCTCTTATGGAGGACCTAAGGCCTGATTTCCAACTTCAGTACGTGTAAATTGCTTAGCAGTTTGTTGGCAGGACCGTGATAGTAGTAACAGGCATCTCGCTGTAAGGTTGTGCGTTGTTGTTCCACAGAGGTCAGCGGCAAATGCATCCTAAGCAAAGATATGTTCTAAGTAGTCTTCTTTCTAGATGTATGCTTATCTAACATTTGGGTCTGAAAAGCATGCAAAAATCTTGATGTAACAACAAATTTGTTAAACCACAGCAGATAACAGCAAGTGAAGTAGTTAAACAGGCCCTTGGCCTCAGTTTTTTTCACACAGCGTAGTTTTAAATTTTAGCCGCAAGCAGGCAATGACATTTACAACTGTAAGATACACCAAGGGGGTTTGGGGAGGGATGGCACAAGGTAACTCTAAGGAGACAGGTTATGAAATTATACCTTACGGCAACTTTCCAACAAAAACAAAAAGAAAAATAGACTTTCTGATAATTCTCAGGCTCAAAATATGAACAGCTTTTCAAGGGAACCAATTAAATACCAGATGGATGGTCAGTAGAAGTCGTGGCTGAATGTTTCTTCAGTTACAGAGGATACCAAGCGTTAATACTAAACAGTGTCATTGTTTTAGATTAGCTTGGTAATTACAGTGTTAATTAAAATTTTAACGGTTGACCCTCATAGGAACTGCTTTCAACCATCAACTGTAGTATAAGGTGAAGCAGGGTAAGGTGTGCTTGTTGATCTATCATTCATATTTATGTTGAGAGAGAGAGAGAGAAATATTACATAGATTTATATCTTCAGATATCAGAAAAGCTTTTTTGTCATGTCTTGTGTCATATGCTGTAGTATTTAATTATATTGCAATAGTAACATACCTTATCTTGCTCATTTAAAATTTTCTAAAATTTCTTTTGTTGAAGAAGACTATACAGTTAGAATCTGATATTGTCAGTCAAATTACTGTATGGATCTCTTGTATCTGCATTCTGGACACTGCCCTCCATATGCCATTAAAATACTTTTCCTTGATTTTTCCATTATATTTTAAAGGAAAACAAGTCAGCTTTCTAGCACTAGTATCAGAAGCCTTTGCCTTAGTGGATTTGTAATGATAGAAGAGATAGTTGTTAACCTGCAAGACTGCGCAGAATTCTAACTGAATATCTTTGGTACCTTCTAAGGACCAATTCAGTCTAAATCTTCCGTTTCCTCATTGACTATTTTCTCTTTAGAAGAAGCTGGCATTGATTTTATTTGCCCAGTAGAAAGGGAAATCGGGCAAGTAAATAGCAGCACGTCAATTGTCCTTGTTTTAATGTCCTTATGGGCAACAGCGACGACTTCCACTTCTTTCTACAGACTAACGAAAAATACAAGTCCTAGATGAATTAGGTATTTTTGAGCTTTCTATGTGTGTTAATTAAAATATCAGTAAGAAAAAAGGCTGACCTTTTGTACTTTTATAAAATTCCATACTGAAATAAGTTGATTCTGCTTTGAATCTGACACTCAAATAGCAACATGGAGACCCATAATTATGAGTTGCTGCTCTAATGTAATATTGTGGTATAATCAAAATTAGAATTAGATTTTTTATTTTTAAATGAAATTAACTGGTGCAGAATGTTAGGCAGATTGTTGTGTGTAGAAGCAAGTATAAGTAGCCAGATTCTTAGCTCCAGCATATCATTGCGATACTAGAGGCATCCCAGCTACAATTATGGCCAAAATGTAGTCTTTTATCCCCATAAAATCTTAATATACTTCTGGGAGATGTCTGCTTAATAAAGAAAAAAAATTACAACGTGGCTATATTTTTGCAGTATTTGCAGAATACGTCATACCAGTGCTTTGTGCTCATGTTTCTATTTGTTCTTCTCCATATGCTGAGTTTTTTAAAATAATCATGTTTCTAGATTCAGCACCCTTACAACCAGTGCAGCAGTAGGTATCCAGGATACAGAGAATGAGAAAGAAACCAAGAAAGTTGTTTGTTTGTGTCAGCAGCCATCTGTTAAAACAAAAACCTTCTGCTTGGTAGAATTTTCTACCAACACAAAATAGTTGTTGTGGAACTTATCTAGTATTATATAATAAAGAAAGTGGACTTGGCAAAGGTAATTGCATGTTAACATTGAAATATAACTTGGCAGAAGAGGTAATACAGTAAAGCAGTAATTGATAGATAATTAACATGTACACAGCCAAAATAGTATGCTTATACAAAGGAGATCGAATCTGAAAGCAAATGAAGCTTTGCGCTACATCTAAACCTGCAGGTATTTCACAAATATTTTCACAGAAAAGTAGTCAGTCACTGAATTTGACATTTGATATTTAGTTCTCTGAAGAATAATTTTTAATAAGTGCTCCAATTAAAGCAGATAAAAATCAAAGAAAGGTATTTTAAAGATTGCTTATTCATCTCTCTGTAAGGATATTCAGACTCAAAATAGCTTTTTTAAAAAAAAAGAAACAGCACTAGGTGGGCGAGAGACTTCATTTTGAGGAGCTTAAAGCAGTTTAACGGGAATTAGAGTGAAATGATCTTAGAAAGCAAATTATCCTGTATTTGCCAGTTGTGGGGTTCCTGGCACCTTCCTTTGGAAGCTCTGGGATAAATAAATGGCTTTCAGAGATGAGACACTGGACTATGTATCTCATCAAAATGAAAATACCTTTTGAGAATACAAGAAAAAAAAGTGTCTGCAGTAGTAATCTGATAACACTGGGTTTGCATGGATATCCATGACTTCTCATATCAAATACCACGTTGCTCTTCCTTATATTGCTATTTAAAAGAAATTAAAAAAATAGTTATGATTGCGACAATGACATGTGTTTATGGTAGAATGGTGTCAATATTCTGTTTATTACTGCCTTGTCTTTATTACGTACTGCAGAACAAATGACAGGCAAAAAAAGCGCTGAAGGATTCATGTTTCTGATCTTTCTGTCGCAACATAATGCAGATTGCAGTGCCACGTTTACGATACTTGGGATGCCAAAAAGCATTGATATCAAGAGTTCACAAAGAGTAAGGTACAGCGAGGTTTTGTTCTTCCATTCCGGTACATGCAAAAACTTGAAAATATTTAATTTTACAGTAGAGGTTTACAACAGCGGATCCAAAGGCCCATCTGAAGACAAGACAGTTTAGTGGATTGTCAAATATGTCCTGACAAGAAGTCTGTAGTCACCTTCAACCCAGGATCATGGGACGTTTACTACTCCTACTTGCTCTTTCTGTGAGCAGCTCGAGGCAAGAGCCATGAGTGTCCTGCTCCCTCCGTTCCCTCCATCCCTGTCTCCCTCCTCAGCTGACCACATATAATGTGGCTCTGCTTCTTCTGACCACCTCCCTGTCTGACCACCTTAAAAAAAATGTTGAGGGAGTCCTGCTTTACAAATTTCTCTTGAGGTTTTTTTTTTGTTTTCCTCCTGGACAGATCCATTCAAAAAATGCTTATGATTATGGCTACTGTATCTTAGTTGCCAAAATAAATTACTTCAGCTGGGAATGTGAAGGATTTGTTAGGCAGAAAAATATAAGAAAAACAAGTAACAAAAGCAGTTTATCTGTTGTGTCATGTGTTGTGATTTTTCTACATGTCTTCTTAGCAAAACCAGAGCTGATGACATTTTATTGCCTGTAGCATACTGGATGTAGCGTGCTAGGTCTTCTACTGCTTCCTAAATTGAATTTCTCCTTATTACTTTAAAAGGTACCTACCAGGGGCAATGGACAGGAGGGATGCGACATGGATATGGTGTACGTCAGAGTGTACCCTATGGCATGGCAACTGTGATCTGTTCGCCCCTCCGAACGTCTCTAGCTTCACTTCGAAGTGAGCAGAGCAACGGCACTGTTCTGCATGACATCACTTCAGACAGTCCGGCTGGAACAAGAGGAGGTTTTGTGCTCAATTTTCACAGTGATCCAGAAGCCATGGGCATTAAGAAAAAAGGAGGCTTATTCAGAAGAGGATCCCTTCTTGGTAGTATAAAACTTCGAAAATCTGAATCTAGGTCATCGATATCTAGCAAACGGAGCTCCGTCAGGAGCGATGCTGCTATGAGCAGAATTAGTTCTAGCGATGCCAACTCTACGATTAGTTTTGGAGACGGTGACTGTGATTATTGCCCTGTGGAAGACCATGTTGATGCCACCACTACAGAAACCTATATGGGTGAATGGAAGAATGACAAGCGCAGTGGTTTTGGTATTAGTGAGCGTTCAAATGGTATGAAATATGAAGGAGAATGGCTAAACAACAGGAGGCACGGGTATGGATGTACCATGTTTCCAGATGGCACCAAAGAAGAGGGAAAGTATAAAAATAACGTTTTGGTCCGTGGAATAAGAAAGCAACTTATACCAATACGAAACACAAAAACTAGAGAAAAGGTGGATAGAGCAATAGAGGGTGCACAGCGAGCAGCTGCCATGGCAAGAACCAAAGTGGAAATTGCAACTTCAAGGTATGTTATCACCAAATATATCTGTTCATCACTGAATTTTCAGAAACAAAAAAGTGTTACAGTATGTGAGCTCTTATTGTTGACAACAGACTCAAAAGCGCAAGGCTGAAAATGTTGTCTTTAGTGAGTGCTTGTTCACCGTCCAGTTTCACATGTGTAACTCCATGGACTTTAGTGGCATTACACATATGAAACTTAGAACTTCAACTCACTTGAGTAACGGTGTTTGTGTATGTTCCATTAATATACTGTGAAAGTAAATTTCCATTCTTACACATTTCTGCTTTCACTCAGGGGCTGCTGCATTATGCCTTTAAACCTGTTTGGAAAATGAAACTAGTGAGGAAACAGAGAGAATGATTCGGGGGATGTGAGGTGAAGATTAAATACCTTCCCATAAGCATGCTCCAGTTAGGCTTATTGTGCTGATGACTTTTTGGGTAATGTCTGAGACTCACTGCAGCTGCCAGTTTGACATTGAGCATCTTAAGGTGCATCTGTTTATCTGAGAGACTGTGGTATGAACAGTCTAAGAACAATGCTGGAGACTCTTGTGTTTAGAGGCTGTTGATTTGGTTGCCAGGGCAGTATCTGCCAAAAGAGTCCTGTATGAGGACTCTTCAGTTTTGGAGCATGTTTCTCCTGCAGTCTGAATTCGTCTGGATCCTAGGACCACCACTTCAAATAGTGGTGGTTGTCTTCTCCCCGCCCCCTGTCAAGTGTTTGAGATGAGAGAAGTGTATGGGTAGTAGTAGTGCGAAAAAAAAACTGTTCACTTTGAACTTCCAACCAACAACCAAGCAAAGTTGTCTGAAATAGAATTGTTACAAATTAAATCAGTGTAGATCAGAGGTTTTACTATTAAGTCTGAGAGCTCTTTAAAAAGCTATTTAACTTTTAATGCCTTCCAATAAGTTTCTGTGGCAGTTTCTTGGTTGTTGGTTTTAGTTTGTTTCCTCAGGCAGGCTTTTCTTGAAATATGCTGTGGACCAAAAAAAGAGCCCAGAAATGTGCATGAAAGAAAATCTTCATGCTATTTTAGAAGGAGGATGTCACATTACACTTAGGGCTGAACAACTGACTCCTGATTTAGTGTGGTCACTAGTGTGTGCTCAGTGACTATCCTTTTCCTGACAGTCATAAAGAATACAGATAAGACTGAAAACTGCCTGAGTGAGAAAGCTTGAATACATGGACGGCTCTTAGCCTAAAGTAGCAGAGACACAAACATGAAGAATTTAGCACACTATTAAAGAACCTTTCTGACCACTGATTGCCTAAGAAACTAGAGGGTAGCATACACTCAATTACTTCTATAAATATATGCAAGGCATTGCATGACAGCATACCATATAGCAAAGCCAATCGGTAATAGCTAACTCTAAGAAATTACTGGATCCCATTCGTGTTCTGCCAGTACGTAATAAGCCCTAGTTCTGAAAAAATTGAGTGAGAGTTGCCACTTTGAGTCCATATAAAGCTGTTAAAAAGCTGTAGTCTGAGACCATTAGGTTACAAGACAGTCTATGCACTTCCTCTTTAAGAAGGGATATGTCTCTGAAGTGTTTTGTTTGCTGTTCCTTCCCTTCAGTTTTAGGTGAAGGACAGAGTTCAAGTTACTTCTTTTGGAACAGTCCATGACAACAATGTTTATTTCTTGAAGAGATGTTTTAGAAAGTGCAACAACAGAAGGCATTAGTTGTAGCGCAACTGTGACCATGGGCTATTCCTTTGGTTTCTCAGCTGAGAATATCTCTGAAACAGTCCCATGACTACCAGTTTGAATAGCAAGATCGCAGATTGAGGTTTCCTCTCTTTTAGTAGCCTTTGCACCAGCTGTGTTGTTATCAAGTCAAAGGCAGAGACCTGACACCTAGTCAGGCAACATCAGGCATAAAGATTATATTAACGTCCCTTGTGAGCGTGTATTGGACTCGCCTAATAAGGATGACGCAACCCTTCCCGTCTCTCAAGTTCTCCAAATTGCCTTTAGTATCAACCAGTGGGAGCGAGGCCATGGCATTATGTGAACTAAGGGACTGTCATACTGACAGAGTCAGTAGTGCTGACCGTCTAACAGCCGGATCATCTGGAAGAGATTCTAGAAGAGCATTGAGGAAGAAACTCCCACTTCCAAAAGTTGCTAAATTCTAGGCTGAGTGGATTGGTACGGTTTCAGGATGAGAGAACTTGCTTCTGTCCTACCAAGACTTGAGGACCGGTATTGGTTTGTGACTGCTTTTTTACCAAACTGCTATATTAATAATGTATTAATCCTTCAGACAGTAGTGTTCCTGCGATGTCTTAGATGAATGTGAGGGTGGTGGTCTTGACCGTTTCCTAATGATTGCTACTACACAAAAAACTCCAGGAGTGCCTTTTTTTGTTTCTCTAATGTGTAATACAAAGGTGGTTCTGCCCATGTGGCATAACCTCGCCACGCACTGGCCTCTCAAACCTGCTGTGTTTCAGACCTGGCAGATCCCACCAGCAATGTGTGCGTACTGTAGATTTACATTCCATTAGTGGACAAACTCTCCAAATAAACCTTTTCTCACCCCAAAAACCATCAAATGTCCAGGTTTCCCTTCCAAAGAGCTAGAAGCCCTGACTCTCAGCCGGATACCTTCCTTTTCAACATGGCTTTGAGCTGTATGCTGTGCTTCCTGTATTGTTTATTCCCAAAATGTTTGCTCAGCCAAATGACACCAGACCATACTCCTCTTCATAGCTCCCTGCTGGTCATGACAGGTTTGGCTAGTCGTTTGACCTGTGACAGATGTCCACGCAGTCGTCAACAAGACCAACCACTGTTTTGCTTTATATTCCTGATGTCTTTTTGTGTCTAAAAGTCCTCCTTAATAATCTATGTATTCTTCCTTTAGATAAAATGACAGTTTGGTGTACAAAGGAAAATCTAAAAGTTGGAGTAAATAGTGCTTCTCTGAACCTGAATTTGTTCACATTGGCTCTCCTGACTCAGCCTTTGGGTTTTTGAGGCATTTGTGCTGAGGTGTTTTAGATACAGTAGCAGCATTTCTCAAAAGATACCAGATCACAAAATCGTGTAATACATAGAAAGCTGCTGTGTCAGGGAAAGATTTCCCAGCCTCTGCTACATAGATCTGTACCTGAAACAGGTTATAAATCAGCAATGAATAAAAATGCTGTTAAAATAATAGCACAGCTTAACAGTTTTGTTTGTGTATTATAGTTTTACTAGCTATATTTAAGACGAAATATTAAGGTGTAAATGTAAAAATCCCAGAATTGGAGGAATTTCAGAAGTATGCTCAATATTTTTCCCTTTTAAAATATTGAAAGGCTTTTTTTTTTTTTGGTAAGTCATTATTATAGGCAGTAATTAGTTCAAATTCATCTTTAACCCATTTGTGCTAAAAGCAGTCAGGTTTACTCTAGATGCCTTTTTGGGGTCTTGGTATCTAAAAGGAAAGGCTGCCTTCCAGAAATATTTAATAGATTTTTTTTTTCTATGTTATTTCAAGCACATGTGAAATGCTTCAAATGATGGAAGATCTACCTTTGGAAGATGTTAAAAAGCCCCAAATATCCATTCAACCAAGAATCAAATAGAAACTTGTTTTGAGGATATTAAATAATCATCACTGGGGGGATTTTGAACTTCCTTTTCATTGCTGTTGTGTGTCTTATTCAAAGGAGATACCTGCAGTTCAGTTTGAACTGGAATTACATTAGAGCTCTTCTTTCCTAATATGAAAATCACTTAAGTTCTCATTAGAGGAGCTATCTAGTGTATTATGTTAACTTTGCCTTCATCAATACTTACCATGGTATGAACTAACATTTCTGGAATTAATTTTTGGAGTTTGAACATGAACTTACCTTCTAATAGTATCATCTGATGTTTTTAAATGTATTGGTCCTGTAAGTAAACATGTAGCAGTGGAAGCAGAAGGAATGGTGATTGTTTACATACAAGCCTTCATGTACCAGATTCTTTCTAGAAAAGTCGATATTGCGGGTTCAGAATTGAGCTCTTGGAGCCAGGCCTTTTTTTTTTTTTTCTTCCCCCTCCCTTCAGATTTTTTCTAGCTGATGCTCAACTAGAAATTCTTCTTTAAGTGATGACTCTCTGAGGAAAAAAACTTTACAGCGACACAGAGGGACAAGGTAAAAGTACACTAAGAATAAGAAATATGAATCAGAAGATAGTGTGTGGAGAAAAAGGGAGAAAGAAAGGAAAAGAAAAAATGTTTCCTTGTTGATATTTTCGTTATACTTAATTGATCTTTCAGATCATAAAACAAGGAGGTTAAAGAATTGTATCTTCTTTTTTATTCTCTCTTCCACAGAAGCTAAATACTTTTAATTGCTCTTAAAGTTGTGAGTTTTAAGTAAGACGTACTTTCATAGTATCCTGTGAGAACTTTTGACCACCTTAAAAGCAATATTGTAATGGGTTTTCATTACATGAGCACCTGAGGTTGGGTGAAGGATAATGATGCCTTTGTGTTAGGCACTGCACACACAAATTACTCTGTCTAGAGACCTTGCAGTCTGGGAAAATGGCAGCGCCCAACAAACGGAAAGGAACTGGCAAACGACTGTGTAAAGACCTGAGATCAAGATAACAGTAAAATTAATATGTTGCAACTAATAAGGTAGAAGAGTTTCTCCTTGTTAATGAGCTGGCTGTGCTCAGATAGGAGTGACCAGCAAGCCTCTAGTCAGGGAGACCTTTTAAGGGGTGTGCTGAAGGGGGATTAACTGGTGTCTTTTCTGCAGCGATTTCTTTTTCAGAGTAGCTTTTTTAGATGACTCCATTTTATTTTTAACATGTTTGCGTCCAAGTCCACAGATGCTATGGCTTAGTTTCAGCCTTTATTTTTTAATAGAAACTACTCTGTTTGTGATCCTGTGTCATGAGCAGCCTGCTTTGTTCTCCCCGGCTGCGAAGGAGCTTCGAGTTGGTGGAGGGGCCCACAGGAGGAAGGTGCAGGAGGATTGACTTGGTGGCA